CTAGAACTGACCGAGAACTGACCTCAGAGCTGACCCAGAACTGACCCAGAACTGATCCAGAACTGACCTAGAACTGACCCCAGAGCTGACCCCAGAACTGACCCAGAACTGACCCAGAGCTGATCTAGAACTGGCCGAGAACTGACCTCAGAGCTGACCCCAGAACTGACCCAGAGCTGACCCAGAACTGACCCAGAACTGATCCAGAACTGACCTAGAACTGACCCCAGAGCTGACCCCAGAACTGGCCCAGAGCTGGGAGTGCCCAGAGCTGACCCGAGCACAGGAGGGATGTTTTGAAGCAGGCCAGGCCAGAGGAACAGGGGGCTGGAGAGAACCTCCATGCCCACATGCCTGCTCCAGAGGCATTTCCACATTTCTGAAACTCCCAGCCTTCTCCAGGTGCTGCCGTGGTGGCCAAGGCTCTGTTTAGCTCCAGCCTCCACCTGGAATTCAGAGTGATCCATTTGCCTCACTGCTGCCTCTCCCACCCAGTGCAGCTCCCCAGCCTCAGCATGATTGCATTTGCATGCTACTAAACAAATCCCCTGATCCATTTTCAGACAAGGCTTCCAGTTGTGCTCTCCCAAGGCCAAGCTTTGCCCTGGCCTCCAAGGAGGTTTCTGTGCTGCCCATTCCCCTGGCCATGGGAGCTGGTTCCAGCTCTGCAGGACCCTGTGCCCATCACCACTGCTGCTCCCTGACAGACTGTCCCCCTCCTCCTGCACAGCCATAAATCCTCCAGCAGCTTCAAGTGGAACAAAATGTAGAGATGTTATCCCCAGGCCTCGCCCCAGCCTTCTGAGGCCCATTATCTCCCCATCTTTTCTTCTAAAAGAACCTTATTTGACAGCCTAGCCTTTCTCATCTTTCTTTTTGCCTTACTGCTCTGACCTTGAGCTAGTTTATTCCTTCCCTCTCTGTATGTTTTAAACGTTGCACCAAAAAATCCAGTTTATTAAGGCTTTCCTTTAGTAAATGATTAACCTGAATATGGTTAAATGAAATGCTTATTAACATCTCCCTGCATAATCCATTTAACAGAATTAGTCTTGCTTATTCAGACAACCTAAAGGGGTCTCTGCTTTTGTCTACACAGCATCAGCATTAAAGCTTATAATTATTTCTGGTTAATGCAGCCCTTGGTGCTAGGAAATGCTGGTTTGTGTGTTCCAGCATAGCACTTCTCCTAATCTCTTGTATTAATTAGAGATACTGATATAATATCACTTTGTTCCTTTCTGTTCAGCACCAGGAGAGATGTCTGAATATAATCCTATCTGTGCTAAGGGTGTCTTAAATATTTCCACGAGTGCTGGCTGGTGTAAAACATTAGGATTAGGTCCAGTAATCCCTAAATTGGAAGAAAGGAGAGCTCACAAAGGCACGTGGGCACGCGAGGTGTGCCTGGCACTGGGGTGGTGCCATGGCCAGGCAGGGATTTCTCCTCACCCTGAGGGGACATTGAAGGTCCCCTCCAACCTCAGTTTCCACCCCAGCCTGTGTGGGTCCCTTCCCAGCCCTGATGATGCTCTATGTGTGCCCCCATTCCCTTTCCCTTTCCCAGAGGGATGCAGCCACTCTGCCTCTGAGCAAAATTTGACTTACACAGCAGCACAAAAGTAAATTATTGCCCCTCAGTGGCTGCAGCTGACATTTTAAACTCACTGTGCCCTGTAAATCTTGGATCATTTGGTATTTCAGACGTCAGGCTGCTCGTGGAGCTTGTTTTAATCTTTTCCTGGATAGAAATTCACTTTCTTCTCAGGCATTTCAAGGTGTCACCCCCACGGGCTCTGAATTTGCAGCACCAGATCATAAAGTCATGGAATTGTTTAGGTTAGAAAAGCCCTCCCAGACCAGGGAGTCCAACCATGGCCAGCACTGCCAGGGCCACCCTGAGCTGTGTCCCCAAGTGTCACATGCACTTTGAGATGCCCCTGGGGATGGGGAGCTGTGAAAAACACCAATCACTTGTTTGTAAAATTGTAAAAGTTTAATAGTAATAAAGTGGTTATAAAGATAGTAATACAATTAGAGTAATAATAGTTTGGACAATTTGGATTAGGACAGTGCGAGACAATAGAGACAAAGAGTTATGGACAGTCCAGGTACCTCTTTCTGGGCAGCACAAGCTGGAAAAAGGACCCAGGTTAACAGAGGATTAACCCTTAAAAGCAACAGCCTGTTGCATATTCATACCCCTCATACATGGTGCATAAATTCCATTCAAACACAGGATTCTGTCTGGGCAGTGTCAGCTTCTTCCTCTGAATCCTGACAGCACCTTCAAGGTGGGAAGAAGTTCATTTCTTCTGATAATGGGGCAATAAATTCTCTTTCTCTGAAAGATTCAGGTGTCCTGTGGCTGCTATCAGTGTGAGTCCTTTCTTTAAAAAGGTATCCTACATAGCATCATTTCTATTTTAACATTTTGTATAACCTAAACCTATATTTACCACACTACTTAAGAGAATTAATACGGCATAGCTTTCTAACACAACACATATAACTTCATTTTAATATTTGCAAAAAGCCAATCGTAAAATACGCATTTTTCACAGGAACCCAAACCTCCCTGGGCACTGTGCCAGGGCTGGGCAGCCTTTCCCTGGAGAAACTCCTGAAGCCCATCCTGACCCTCTCTGGACACAGCTCTCCTTCCCTGTGGCACCCAAACCTTCTGAAATCAGCTCTGTGTCACGCTGGGGATGGGGCCTGTGGAAATGCCCAGCATGGCTGCAGGTGTAATCACAGACTCTAATAATTCCAGCTTTTATTTAAAGCCCAATCACACATTCCTCCACCATTGCCTCCCTGCATAAATATTAAGACTGGGAGCTCGTGTGTGTGTGTGTGTGTGTGAAACAATGGCATGGTAATATTTCAGCAGGGGAAAAAAAGGCAGCTGGTTTATGCTGCTCTCAAACATTTAAACCTTCTCATTTTCCCCTAAACTGAGGGCTTAGTCTGACACTTTTGGAACCATCCTGTAGTGCTTTGAAAAATACCAAGTCCAAGAACAAAGTGACCTTGCATGGCCTTGCACAGGAAAGCAAGGACTGCTCGGTCCTTACCAAATAATTACCCAGAGTAGATCAAGGACTGAGCAGGCCATGCTAAGAGTCTTTAAATTTTAAAGGTGTGTTTGTTTTAAAAGTTTATACATCAGCACAAAGCTATGAAATTTTATTAATATCCAGCAACAGCAATTTGCTTGGCCAGCAATGAATTCAGGGAGCCACAGGAAAAATTAATCAAAATTCTGAGGGGGAGAAGAAAAAATCTGCAGGAGATTATTAATTTTTAAGGATTTTTAAGAGTCTAAGCCAATATTTTAAACTATGTGTCATCCAGTAGGCCTCGTGTGACATCATAATTGATAATTAAGCTTCTCCAGCTTTGCTTCTCCTTCAGGTTTCTTTTCCATCCAATTCTCCTGCTTAGGCAGCTTTGAGAGCTGAAACTTTTCTATTATCTCCCAAGCCAGTGCATTTTTCCCCCATTAACTCCCCTCTTGCCTTTGTGCAGAAACAATCCATGTATGATTTAATAAGCCCTGGAAAGACAGAGCTGGTTCATATGCAGGAAATCAGATTTACATAATTTTCCGCTGGCTTTTATTGCTACTGTAGTTCAAATTATCCTTAAGTTGGGGAAACTCTCTTCATAGCATAAAATGTAACAGCACCTGTGTTATGCTTCAGCTTCCCCACCCAGCCCTCGTAATAAATTAAAGGTTGATTTGTCATCCTGACTTAGCACAGAAAGTCCTTTTGGAATGAGAGGAGAGGAAGGGCCCTGGCCTGCAGTTAGTCACAGTCATCAGTCACCAAACTAAGCTTCAACACCAAGTTTAATCTTGTTTTGTTTTGGGTTTATTACCTGAGCCTTTCTGCACGGGGGGAAAGCAGAGGATTTGGGGTTGTGTCACACTCTCTGCGCCAAGTGAAATGTCACACACTGCAAGTGGAGCTGCAGGGGGCTGTACAGAAACCAAGGGGATGCTGGTGGTTGGGATTTGATCCAGGATTTGGGCTGAGCAAGGCTCAGGAGTGGAGGCTGCATGCTGGGAAAGCAAACAGGATTTGGTGCAGGGTTGAGGGAGCAGCTCCTTGTGCTCCCCTTCCAAGGGCAAAGCCATGGGTTTCACAGGATCCTGGCATGGGTTGGGTTGGGAAGGACCTCAAACCCACCCAGTGCCACCCCTGCCATGGCAGGGACACCTCCCACTGTCCCAGGTGCTCCAGCCCCAGTGTCCAGCCTGGCCTTGGGCACTGCCAGGGATCCAGGGGCAGCCACAGCAAATCTGGGAATTCCATCCCAGCCCCTGCCCACCCTGCCAGGAACAATTCCTGCCCAATATCCCATCTAAATCAACTCTCATCGAGCTTAATGCCATTCCCCTTGTCCTGTCAGGACAGGGTTTCTGCCAGGTGCATCCCCGAGGCACAGCTGGGACACTCCCAGTCCCAGGGACCAGCTCCTCCCTTGCTCCTCAGCACTGATTTCTTTCTCTTTGCACTTTGTGCGCATTTACCTAGGAATTCGAGAAGGGCTTTGTGGTAAACAAATAAATACAATTTCTTCCAAATGAGTATTAATGTCTTTAGCTGAGCACCATTGTCAAACTCTGGCTTCTGGAGTTGGGCAGAAAATGAGCTGTTTCCCACGAGGGCTTCATCCAGGCCCCTTTCATTGATTGCACTGCAGATCTTCATGCTCAGTAACCTAAAAATGGATCGATTATTCAGCTGGTTAAAGAGGAAGCAATCCCATTTCCAAGTGCTTGCCTTGAAATCAATTCCAGCTGCTGGAGCGAGCGGGGCTGTTCCCTGGGCAGGGTGGCAGCAGGGCTGGGTGTGCTCACAGCCTTCATCTGCTGCCCAGAGCAATCCTGCTGCTGCCCTGAGAGGGGAAAAATCCTTACCCATGGAGAAGGGCGGAATGTGGGCGTCTGAGAGAGGGAATTGCCACTGACCCCTGTGCTTGCCTTGCAGCTCCCAGCACAGCCCAGTACGGCATCACCGGGCACGCCGAGGTGCTCTTCTCCTGCTGGTCCCTGGTGCTGACGCTCTCCTCCCTCAGCAGCATATTCTACCTGAAGAACATCCTTCTGCACTAAATGTAAAGACCCATAAAAGGCTTTTAAGGATTCTCTGAAAGTGCTGATGACTGGATCCAATCTGGTAGAGTTTGTTAAAAGCGGCGTGGGATATAATCAGTGCTTACATGGGGATGATCGCCTTCTGTAGAATTGCTCATTATGTAAATACTTTAATTCGACTCCTTTTTTTTGATTAGCTGCATTACCTTGTGGAGCAGTACACATTGTCCTTTTTTAAGACGTGAGAACTCTGAAATTACTTTTAGAGGATATTAATTGTGATTTCATGTTTGTAATCGACAAGTTTTCAGAAGCATTCAGTCATGGTCTGCTGACTCGCAGACTGTAGTTTACAAAAAAAAGGATATTGCAGTAAAAATGTGCTTCTTTAAGGCTGCAATACAAACATTCAGTTCCCTCCTCAACTAGCATTCTATCCAAACTTACACAAAAAACATTCGTTCTTTTTTGAGTAAAAAAAAAAAAAATCTCAAATAATATTGCCTTCAAAATACTTCTTCAAAATATTACACATATCTAGATTTTCTTCTAGCATGATATTCAGGTTTCAAGAATGAGCCTTGTACTATAACTGCGTTGCGCAGTACCGCTTTTGTTCTCTTCCCTCCTTCCTGCCAGTTCAGCATGGTTGTGCCTTCATGAAACACGACTTTCCTCTTCCTCTCCAAGCGGTCTGGAATGTGTTCTGGGAAATGCTGGAGCATCCTTTGGAGCGTAGGAGATGTCTGGGTGAGGCCAGAGGAGCCCGGGCTCCCAGGAAAGGCTCCTGTCCCCCTGCAGGAGCTGCTCCAGGGCAGGGCTCAGCTCAAGGGCAGCACCAGCTCCTTCCTGTCCCTCCCTCCACCACCACTGAGCAGTAGGTGACCTCTGTAAAAACGACATTTCCCGTTAGGAAACAGAGCTCCAACGATTTTGTGGCACCTTTTGAATGTCGGAATGTTCCCCCCAAAGCCAAATTCCCACCTGGCTGCAAATGTCAGGACCGTCCCTTTTGTATTGCTGGCAAAGCCGACGTGAATTGGTATTTTTCTTGCACTCAATTTTGTACTGGTTTGGCTGATTTAGCAATGATAAAGGATGCTTTGAACCATGAGACACCTGCAAATCCCTGGAGTATCAATTTTCTATCTCCACATATCCGTGTGGCAGCAGCGAGGCTGCTCCTGCTGGGGGCACGTGGCTGTGCTTGGGGAGCCACCTGGGCAGGCAGGGCTTGGGGGGCTGCTCCCCTGGCCAGGGCTGTCCCTCCAGCCCCACACACCATCCCATGGAGGGGACCCTGCTGGCACACCCTGAGGGATCAGCCCAGCAATCCTGTGCAATGGTGCTCCATCCTTCACAGCCCCGCACGGCGCTGGTGTGAAGTGCTGCTCACACAGAGCTGCCACCTGTGCCGCTCACTGGGGTGGCCGTGGCCAGCAGCCCTTGGGCACCACATCCCCTGGTGGCCCCAAGAGCTCCTGACCTGCTCACCAACAACTACTGACAGCAGGAATAACAAAATCCTTATCACAGAATCCTGGGCTGGGCTGGGAGGGACAGAGCCCATCCCATCCCACCCCTGCCAGGGACAGGCGCAGGAACATCTCCACTATCCCAGGGACAGGGACACCTCCACTATCCCAGGGACACCTCCACTACCCCAGGCTGCTCCCAGCCCCATCCAGCCTGGCCTTGGGTGGGCAGCACCACTTTCACTGTGATCAATACTCCCAGGCTCTGAGTTTGAGCTCCAGCAGGTGGCTGGAATTTCCCAGTTCCCCACTTTTCCTGCTCACAGCAGGTGCTGGCAGTGAGCAGCCCCAGCTTTGGGAATACTCAGCAGTCCCAAAATCCCCATTTTTCCAGCAAGAAGGGCTGGGAGCTCGCTGGGCTCAGTGTGAGCTGTCCCAGGCCAGTGCACAGGCAGGAGGTGCAGTGCCTCTGCTGTCCCTGCTGAGAGAACAGAGATGTTCACTCCAACAGATGGCAATAAAACACCCTGGGTCACTCTGCATGTGGTCAGTGACAGGCTGCATTATTTCTCTTATGATTTACAGCCGTGTGCCAAGCAGTTGCTGTTATCAGAAATGTGGCATTTTTTAAAACCTGGAATAACATGAACAAACCCATTCTGCAAGGAAAGGGTACAAACTCACCTCAAATGAGTTTATCAGTCCTGATACCCCCATGTCTCTTGTATTGCAGCTTTAAAGTGCTCTATTTTAGAACCCATTGACTAGAAACAGTGGTGCTGCAGGAAGTCTTGTGTCAGTGCAGTTTTCTGAAGGGAGAAATGAGGCTATGGACAACCCCACCCATGTGTGTAAAACTGGGAGAGGGTTCTATGCTGTGGCTGGATCAAACCCTGCATTCCAGTGATTCCTGACATTTGGAACCTGATCTTTCCAGCAACAGAATAGAATGAGCAGCAGCTTGATTAAACATGAAAATCAGAACACTCAGTGAAGTGTTGAATGTTTGCATTCGCACCAGGGAGAGCCACTGGGTGGCACGGACGGGAGGTCCTGTCCCACGTTTGATTTTCACTTGGGGGGAACAGAAAAGAAAAAAAGAAAAAAAGAGAAAACCCCAAACAGAAAAGAAAAAAAAAAAAAAAAAGAAACCCCCAAACCCAGAGCAGCAGCAGCAGAACTGGGAGCTGTGCCTGGGTGCCAGGGGTGATTTTGTGAGGCAGGAGAGTGCTGGGGGTGTGAGGGGCTGAGGGGCTCTGCGGGGTTTGTGAGGGACAGGGGCTGAGGGGCCCTGCAGGGTTTGTGAGGGGCAGGTTTGTGAGGGGCCCTGCAGGGTTTGTGAGGGGCAGGCAGCTGAGGGGCTCTGCGGGGTTTGTGAGGGGCAGGTTTGTGAGGGGCAGGGAGCTGAGGGGCCCTGCAGGGTTTGTGAGGGGCAGGGAGCTGAGGGGCTCTGCAGGGTTTGTGAGGGGCAGGGAGCTGAGGGGCTCTGCGGGGTTTGTGAGGGGCAGGGAGCTGAGGGGCTCTGCAGGGTTTGTGAGGGGCAGGGAGCTGAGGGCTCTGCGGGGTTTGTGAGGGGCAGGTTTGTGAGGGGCCCTGCAGGGTTTGTGAGGGGCTCTGCAGGGTTTGTGAGGGGCAGGGAGCTGAGGGCTCTGCAGGGTTTGTGAGGGGCAGGTTTGTGAGGGGCTCTGCGGGGTTTGTGAGGGGCAGGGAGCTGAGGGCTCTGCAGGGTTTGTGAGGGGCAGGGGGCTGAGGGGCTCTGCAGGGTTTGTGAGGGGCAGGGGGCTGAGGGGCTCTGCAGGGTTTGTGAGGGGCAGGGAGCTGAGGGGCCCTGCAGGGTTTGGGCAGGCCTGGAGCCGCAGCAGAGGCCTCAGGCGGACACACCTGGCTGGGGTGAGCTGGGCTGGGGTCTGTGCTCCCAAAGAGGCAGCAGAGTGAGCACAGCCACTCCAGGGCTGCAGGATGGGTGCTCGGGGCTGGTTCCAGCCCCTCATTTTGGGGGCACTTTGGGCAGCTGTTGGAAGGTTTGTCCTGTGCTTCCCTGCTCTGTCTGCCGGCCAGGCCGGCTCTGTGCATTCCCTCCTTCCCAACACAAAAAGGCTCAGCTGAGCATTCCCAGCAGGCTGTTGGAGCCCCCAGGCTGGGAGGGCTCCTGTGCAGTGCCTCAGGGCTGTCCCCACACTGTGACACTGCTGTCACACGGCTGCTGGCCCTGGCACTGAGCTGACACTCAGCTGAGCGTGTCTCACAACTCAGAGTTGAACAAACGCAGCTTCTCAAGGGTTTGTGTCTTGGCAGGATCCTCCAGAGCCAGACAGCTTTTTTTAAACTTTTCAATAGGTTTTTTTTTAGAGTTGATGCTGTTTTTGAGATCCAGGAGTGTTAAACCCATCCCAGTGACAGCTGCTTTTTTTGCACATTTTCTGAGCAAGTGTTCAAAATAGACAATGGCAAATGTTCTGCTACCAAAACCTCCACAGAGCCCACAGAACTGTGTAATGAAGAATGTGTATACCAAAATATGTATTTACATGGATAAATATGCCTTAAAGACTAAATATGCATTTACTTCTAAGGCTGGATCAGCCTCGTGACCAGTCTGGAGGTAAATAATCCATATTTCACAGCTGCCATGGAGGGGGTGTTCTCTGGAGGAAAAAAAAAGAAAAGGGGAGGGTGGGGAAGCATTTCTTTTAAAAGAATCTTCAGTAGTTTTAAAATCCTTGCATGAAATGCCATGTGTGAGGAGAAGTGGGGAGAGGATGGAGTTGAGCCTGGCGCTCCAGCACTGCAGGGTTGGCTGTGGGGCTGGCAGGTGCCACTACAAACTGCTACATCCTCTCCCATGTGCCCCCACACACCCAAATCCCTCTGAGGGGGACAGAGTGAGGGGTCTGGGTGTTTCCCAGTCCCACAGGGCTGTGGAAATGGGGCCACCAACCCACAGCCTCTCCTGCTGCAGCTGGCAACACAGGAACCTGGGAAATGGGGAAATGTTGGCCAAAAAAGGGAATTTAAAACCCAGGAATTAAAAATTCTCCATTCTGCCTTAGTATGGGAGCAGAGGGATGAGTGCTGGCAGGGCAGGAGGAGCTGGCCCTGGGTTTGGCCAAGAGCAAGGGGGACATGGCAGGACAGGGACCCTGCCATGCTGGGGCTGGCTCCTGGTTTGTGCTGTGCCCTGAGCTCCAGGGGCAGGGCAGGGATTTGCTCTGCAGCCAGGAAAGTCCATAATCCCCCTGGAAACAGCCAGGGCAAGGCAGTGGCGCCGGGGCTGCTGGGGAAGGGATTCTCAGCAAATCCCCCTCTCGGAGCTCTGTGTGAGCAAGGCTTTGCTGGGGCACCTTCAGCGCTGTTTGCTCTGGCTCCTGATGCCTAATTCATGAAGGGCTCCCAGGCTCCTTCTTATTAGAAAATTCTCATGCTAAAAAACGCGGAGATCAGCATATTTGCCACCTCTCATAAGCTGAGCTCTCAGTCATTCATATTCCAGGGCAGAGGGAGCGTTCCTGTCAGCGGCAGGGTGAAAATCTGCATTAAGGGATGGGGAGGAGCAGTTCCAGCTGCTCTGTCCTTGGCTGGGATGGGCTGGGACAGGCCCTGGGGCTCTGCCTGGGGGCTCAGGGGGTGCAGACCAGCCCCAGTGCTGATCTGGGCTCCATCATCACCCCCAGAGTTATCCCCAGGGTTTCTCCAGTTTATCCCACAGCCATCAGGGGATGGGAACAATGTGACAGCCACCTGGGCTCCCTACCTGCACAAACCTGGGCTGGGTTCTCCCACAGGGGGCTCAGAACCCTCCAGGAGCAGCAGTGACAACCAGCCCAGCCCAAAGTGTCCCCAGGTTCCCAGCCCAGCATGGGGACAGCAGAAATGTCCCCTCTGCAGCAGCGAGGACAGCGAGGGGACAGCACAGTGCTGCTCCAGCCACAGGAGCTCCCCTCATCTGCCAGGGGCTGGAACACTCATCACCCCCATTTTCTTGTTTCCCAGCTCACAAGCTGCCTGCAGGGATGCTCTTTATTCTAGTCAGTATCCAGAGGGGGAAATCTGCTCCCTCCGTTTAGGATTCCTCAGCAAACCGAGCACAGCTGGCACAGACACCCTGTGATTTCCGTGCACAGCCATCAGCTGTCCCCCTCCAAGCCCCATTAGAGGCACGCTGGTCCCATTAATCCCCACGACAGGCACTTAAATGTGAGCCCCGGGTGAGAACAGCCCTCAGGCTGAGATGGAGCAGCAGCAGCCTGGTTTTCCAGCGGGTGGCTGAGGGTGGGATGGCAGGGCCAGTCTCCCCTCCCTCTGTTTTGTGGCTTTTTTGATATAAATCATCCTTTCCTCATTGGAGGGTGGGTAATTCTGGATGGAGGGGCAGCCTTTGAGGGATGCTCAGCATCTGGGATGTGTCCCTTCAGCTGGGGCCAGCAGGAGCTGCTCCATCCCACCAATAAGCCCAGTCCTTGCAGGAATTAGGGTTGGAGGAGGCAGCACGCTTCATTAGGCTGGCAAAGCCCTCAAACCTTGGAGGAGCTGCTTCTCCTCCTCCCGCGTTTCAGTGAGCTGCTAAAGTGCTGAGTTGTTCTTCCAGAGCATTTCAAATTCACTGCTCTTTCATTATCCTTGACCTTTTCACATGTTTTACCATAAGTGGGGGAAAAATTAACTTTGGAGTAAATTACTGCAAGTCCCTCCCCAAAAACATTTAAAAACAGAGCCTGGGAGGCTGGGACAGGGGAGCAATGGCTCTTGCTTGCCACTGTTTTCTGTGTAAAGAGGATTTAATGCCTGTTTGCCAAAAATTATGGATCCTAAATCCCTGTGGCTCATTTAGAAAAGACTTTTAGCAGCACAGGTGCACATATCCTCCCCTGTACATTGTGTTAGGAGTGGCAGAAAGACAAAGGGTGTGATGGGACAGGGCACCTTCCTGTGTGCTGCTCCTGAAGCCTTGCACTCTGGGGCTTGGTCCCTGGGTTTTTATCCCTGTCTCTTCATATCCATCTTTTGATCCCTGTCTCTTGGTCCCCATCTCTTGGTTCCTGGTCCCTGTCTCTTCATGGCCATCTCTTGGTCCCTGTCTCTTGATCCCATCTCTTGGTCCCCGTCTCTTGGGCCCCTTCTCTTGGCTCTCTTGTCTCTCCCATGTCTTAGCCCCCTTCTCTTGGTCCCTTTCTCTCCTTTCCCATCTCTTGGTCCCCATCTCTTGGTTCCTTTCTCTCTTTCCCATCTCTTGGTCCCTATCTCTTGGTCCCTTTCTCTTGGTCCCTATTTCTTGGTTCCTATTTCTTGGTCCCCAACTCTTGGTGCCCATCTCTTGGTGCCGCTCTCTCCCCAGAGGGGGATGGCAGGAGCAGGAAGAGGCTGCAGCCCAGGCTGGGCTCCCAGCCCATTCCCTGCACACTACAGAAGCCATCAGACCCAGACAATGGCAGAGACCCTCCTGGTGCTCGGGGGCTGAGCTCCCCCTTCTTCCCTGGCTCCCAGCTCCACCTGAACAGACACGCTGTCACACGGAGCAGCTGATGTCACATGGAGGGGCTGATGTCAAATGGAGGAGCTGATGTCACAAGGAACTGCTGATGTCACAGGGAACAGCTGACGTCACACGGAGGGGCTGATGTCACACAGGGACAGCTGATGTCACACAGAGGAGATGATGTCACACAGAGCTGCTGATGTCACAGAGCTACTGATGTCACAGAGAATGGTTGATGTCACAGAGAATGGTTGATGTCACACAGAGTATCTGATGTCATATGGAAGAGCTGATGTCACACAGAATGGCTGATGTCACAGAGAGAAGCTGATGTCACAGAGAACAACTGATGTCACACAGAGGGGCTGGTGTCACAGGGAACATCTGATGTCACACAGAACTGCAGATGTCACAGGGGCTGGGAGAGGCTCCCAAGCCTTGTCCCGCTCCCTGCTCTCCCCCAGCCCTGGTAGCTGTCCCCCAGCCCTGCTGAGTGTCCCCAGCCCCGGTGAGCCCT